ATTTACACACTTACACACACAAACGTTTGCACGCACATATTCGTATTATATTATATATACTACATATGTTTATAATATCATCAAGTGCCAGATCTGAGGCGAACATCGGCGATCATGGTTCTTCATTCATTCCTTTGCTCGGATGCTCTTGAAAAAGCTACGTTACCCAGATCTTTCCCGTTACCCATCTTTAGGTTCTCTAAGTAGGTTGCCTGCCAGTACCATGCATTCTGTTTTCTTTAAGTTAAACAATAACCCATAACGTTCACTTTCCGTTAAAACAGTATGTAGAAGCGATTGAAGGTCCTTTTCTGAGTCTGCTATTAAGACGGTGTCGTCGGCATATCTGATGTTAAAAATGTTTTCGCCATTCACTTTGAGACCTGGGCATTCTTCTTTGTTTCTAAAGATTGTTTCGCTGTATATTATATTAAAACGTCTTGTGACATAAGACATCCTTGCCTCAATCCTCTTCTAATCTTCTTATATTCGCTGTATTCTCCATTAAACAGAAGCGTTTTGGTCCTAGTATAAATTCCTGTTGTTCTTTAATATATGTTTTTGTTTCTTGCCTATTTCTGTGATATTGACGCCATCTGATTAGTAGAACATGTGCTTATGATTGTGTTCAATAGTGTGTTATGTACATAATTGTTATAAAATGTAACTGTTACATTAAATGGCTGTTCAAAATAATTTTAGATGTATGTGAAGGATCTTAGAGCAATGATGATTTTAGAAATGACTGTGGTTGTGGTGGTAATAAGTGGCGGTGTGGGATGGTGTTTATGCAAATAATTATTAAGAAGACATGCTCCTGTTAGTCAATGGTTTAAAAAAATGTTAGCGTTAGTCCTATCTTCCTCTGCTCCGATGAGTCATGAGGGATGTGGGCACCCGCTATCCCGTTCCCTACTGGAACCATCTTTAATGTCACCATAAAGTTCCGAAATGGTGGGTACAGTCTCTGCTAAAGGGACCTTGTTAGTATTATCCTATTCTAGCGGGCCAAGACAAGTGAAGAGAGGACCTTAATAGGTGGACAGTATTGCAGCCGATATGATAGGGATTTACTAAGGGGGTTGTAGGTAGCAAATTGACAACCAGGTTATAGTCTTAATATACAGTAGTCATATTCTACTCCCTAACCATTTATCCCAGTTGTTCCTTTATAGTCTTATTTAAAAATGAAGTTGCGGAGATTATGAGACAGGATCCTCGAACCCAAATGGAGAGGGCATAATTTACACACAATATTGTATCCCCTCGCCTCAGGGGGAACGGTACAAATTCCTGTTCATTCTGAGATATATACAAAGTGGTATCCGCCTAAGATCCCACGGCTTGCTTTCCCGCTGTTTTAAGAAAATGGAATTTTTACTACACAAAAGTCACCCCTAAGATCCCGCCCTGAAGTATTATATCCGGCTAAGGTCCTGCATTGAAGATCACAATTTTCTATGGGTTCTATCTATCATTTTCCAATCCACTTGGGGTTTCGTTTGTTTCTGAAAAACTCTATTTTGCTTATATGAAACAGAACGAATATCTCTTTGTAGGAACAACTTGACAGCCAATCCATCCCGGCATGTCTCAAATGGGCCTAGTTCAAATCGTGGTGCAGCGTCTTACCTGACACCGGGCACGGGTTGTTTTTGTGCAAAAACGGTTTTGGTGGTACGTTTGTACCTAGCTCAGCTACAAGCATACAAAAGTTACCTTGGTAACGGTTAACTGTCAGCCCAGGGCACACTCGGCCCGGACGTGCCTTATAGTTCGCTGGTTTCGGCAAATAAGCATTTTCAATTTTTATTCTCTGTCTTCACAGGCAGAGAAATGAAGAATTAAGAGCAGCTATTGGCACCGAGTCTTACCTGCATTTCATAGAAAGACAGAGAATAAAATGGTTTGGCCATCTGTTACGTATGTCATCTTGCCAGCCAGCCCCGAGAGCCGATAGCACCAAGCAATCAGGCTATAAAGGAAGAGGAAGGCTACACAAAAGGTGGATTGAGAGTGTCAAGGAAACCCTGAGAAATCATAATACCCCATCTGAAAGAGCTACGGAGCTGGCCTTCCACAGAAAACTGTATCTCTCCTCGACGCTTAAAGAGGATGAAAGCGTAAAAGTAAGCAAGTAATATTTCCAATGATGAGCGGCGGAGAACATCTACCATTGAAAAGGTTTATTTCCTAACAAAGTATATCTTTTGGGAATAATACCCATCTACTCTTCTGTCGTTCTGTCGTTTCTGTAGATACCGATTGATTGTCCACCCATTCAAGCCCCGTCTCCCTGCTGGTCTGTGCATCATCGCGGTGTGGGTGGCCGCGGTCTGTGTGGTGCTGCCTTTTGCTATCTACATCAAGTACATCGATCTCGGAGCCTCCTTAGGTAAGAATTCTTTGTTTGTTTTTTGTGTTTGTTTTGCTTTTGTTAAAGTTGAATTCTTATATAGACACAATGTATTTTTTTTCATGCCGATAAGCACGTATTTTATGGTATGGTTTTTGAAAATAAAAGAGAAAGACATCTTTATTCCTTCCCTATCATTCATTCAAGCCATAACACCTTTTTCCAACATAGCATGCTATTGCAGGTCACTGCGGTACAGAAACGTGCTCTTTAAAGCCATGGTTGATTTGTTCTTCCCTAGGATTTCCACCCATCTTAAAGCCTGTTCACTGGCATGAAAGATCTGTTTGCAAACATATTATTCGTACATTCTCTTCCTGTCTGGCATAATTGCTATAGACATATTTTGTTCTTTCTTGTTTTTTTCCCTAAGCATAATTTTCCTCTCCTTCTTTCAGTGTGCTTTATTCTGTCTTGTGTCTAACCTATGGGAGTTAAGCTAACGAGAAATCTGCGAGCATGTGGACATTATAATTGATACAGTGTATAACTAATTATTAAAGTTCATGATGTTCAGATTACTTTTCACATCAGTCAAAAATTCATTTGCTTGAGAACTTGAATCGTTTCCACAAAGACAATACGATGACAATACTATCCGCTTTAGAAGATCTGTGCACAACCCTGGACTCTGGACAGAACAGCATGAACCTAACTCGAGCTCCAATACGTTCGCTATTTGTAGTAAACCGCTCTCCTTCTCCTATGATAAACGATACGCTGGCAGTTAGATAACCCAACCTTGTATAACTCTTTTTAATACCCCCACCGCTTTGCGTTTCCAAGGAAAGATAACAAATTCAATTTTATGACAAATCAAGTGTCATGGACTCTCCGAGGTATCGATCTCTCTCCCTCCCGATTACTTCCCATGTTTACTCGTGGAAAGCTTAAGCGGGCTTCACACAGCCAGCCCGATCAACGTTTTATTGACAACGATGCTAAAAACGTGGAGGTGTGGCCACACTGGGAGGAGGAAATAGCTTCTTTCATCGTCTGACAAAACCCATCAATTTTCCCCGCGAGAGGCAGCTGTGTTCTCGAGTTTCTCCACTCAGAGCTAAATTTGTTACAAGATTTTTGAAGTTCAATATATAACAAGCCACCTTTTGTTCGTCTAAAATCTCCCCTGTCGTCAACAGAGCTTGATATAACGTAGGGGGCGTCTTTTTGTAAAACGAAGCTTATTTGAGCAAGTCCTCTTGATTAGCACTAAAAAATGTACGAAACTGATCGATTTTACGTTCTTCGTAGCGCTTTAAGGTTGTTTTGGAGGCAGATCCTCCGAATCTGATGCCTATCTCCAACAGGACCGTGCCAAATGGGAAAATTTGGGAAAAGTGCCTTTCCCTAGGACATAACGTCAGACCCAATTGAGCCTCGGACTCCACGACCGAGACCCCAATCTCACGATTACGAGTCCAGTAACCTAACCAGTAGACAATCAACACCACCTTGTCAGGCGAACGCTTGCAAATATACTCTATATGTACACACACACGCACCCCCTACCCCCCCACCCACACACACACACACATATACAAACACACACACATACACACACACACACACACACACACACACACACACACACACACACACACACACACACACACACACACGTACAAAGAGGAAGATAGATAGGGAAAGCAAAAGTGGAGGGACAGGGAGAGATATGAGAGAGGGACAGGGAGCGAAAGAAGGAGATAGAGGAAAAGAAAGAGAGGGAAAGAGAGAAAGAAAGAGAAAGAGAGAGGGTGAGAGAGAGGGAGAGAGAGAGAGAGAGAGAGAGAGAGAGAGAGAGAGAGAGAGAGAGAGAGAGAGAGAGAGAGTAAGAGAGAGAGGGGGAGAGATAGATAAATAGATAAATAGATAGATAGATAAATAGATGGATGGATATATATATATATAGATAGATAGATAGATAGATAGATAGATAGATAGATAGATAGATAGATAGATAGATAGATAGATACATAGATACATGTGCTACGTTCGAAAAGGGCTTTATGAAGCACGTTGCTAGTAGTTACGTGACTGCACTCTTTACATCGTTGACACCTTACATATGATGCCTACTACTGATGTTTTTTTCCCTATACGATGACGGCGCTTTCGTTGTAAGCAAAGGTAACCACAGTTTCGAGAAATTACATACTTAACAAAGGCAAATGTTGATACTAAGGCTTATTACTGGTAAAATAAACCATTTTCTGTTGCCCATGTTCAACAACAAAGTCAACAGAGAATAAACTTCGACTCGAACATCATATTATGACATATTATGAGTCCAACACTTTTTATCCTTTTGTTGTCCACTGAGTTTAAGTGTTAAATTGCTTGATCTTGAATTAGTGATTCCCATTAGCCCGGCTGAATTGACAGGCAAACAGCGAGATGTTGGAAGAGAGGCGCTACCTGCAGCTAGTAAGTGTACATCGTGGAGGAAAGTAGAAGTCCCAAAGACCTCCTACTTGAATAATTAGCGTCAGGGAGAGGGCCACGGGCAAGGTCTAAGATGCACTTTAGAGAACTATGTAAAAGGCAACCCCGTCGCCACCACACCTCTTCATTGGCATTAACAGCTGGAAAGCTTCAACTAAAGAGACAAGGACCTGGAGGCTTGAAATATAGAAGGATGTGTCATGAATGAAGATTAATAATGTATATTTTGGATATACAAGAAAAGTGATCAACAAAGGGAAGTCAAACCTTTCAACAATATCAGATGTGACTACCTACAAGGTCTGTCGTGCCGAGCTCTCAGCCCCCAGTGGCGTTGCTTCCTAACTTTAGAGGCCAACAAAAACCATTGACCCCACCATCTAGCCGGACACAAGGAGGCCAATGTAGCTTGATTACACAATCTGAAACAATCTTTCCATTTACTCCAGCACCATTACTGCCATACCCATAACTCTCATTGCACTCTTAACGTTATTGTTTATTTCTTTCTTTACGAAAGCTTGCTTGTATTTTGTCTCTAAGTATTGAAGCCAAACAGCATTTTAGATGAAAGTATTTGTCGAAATCTTTTAAAACTGACTTCTGCTCGCCTGAACTCAAAGCAAACAGACTACTCTCGTGACCACCCCCTCACCACCCAGCCACAAACACACACACACACACACACACACACACACACACACACGCACGCACACACACACACACTACCCATTCCATAGTTCGATAGCCTAAAACATTAATTCTGAAATTAGCACTCCGGCAGCTAGGTTCAGACGTAGTGGACGGGTCATTAAGAAGCTGAGATGGCGTCGCTGATTTTTCAAAATGCTTAGGTTCCCTGCAGCCTTGCCATGGGCGTTCAGTTGGCAAAACGTAACCTTAGATAGGGCAATAGGCACCCCGGGGCTCCACAATTATCAGTTATAAAGTCCGATGCTCATTTATAGAAACCCTGTTCTAAAAATGTTCCTGCCTGCCGCTGTCCCCATACTGAGCAACAGAATTATGTTGTCTCTGCAGTCGAACGCAAAAAAAAAATTCTTTGGGCGCAAATAGGTAAGATTGAAAATAATATGATGACAGAAGCAAAAGGAAGATATGATGGGGAGAAAGAGCGCCTAAAACGAGAAGGAAAAATAGATACACTGAGACTCGCAGGCTCACAGACAGAGAGGCGCACACATACACACACAAACACACACACACACACACACACACACACACACGCACACACACACACACACACACACGCGCGCGCGCGCGCACACACGCACTCGCACACGCACACACAGACACACAGACAGGTAGACAAAGATAGAAAGAAATGAAAAGAAAGAAAAAAGGTTGACATACAGAAAGGTAGGCAGGCAAAGAATCTGAGATAAGCATCTAGAAAAAAATGAGAGAGGGGGGGGAGCAAGAGAGAGAGACACAGAGAGATAGATAGATAGATAGATAGATAGAGAGAGAGAGAGAGAGAGAGAGAGAGAGAGAAAGAGAGAGAGAGAAAGAGAGAAGGGGTGGGGTAGAAAGAGAGAGAGGGGAGAGGAGAGAGAGCCGGCGAGAGATAGAGAGATAGATATATATGTATAGAGAGAGAGAGAGGGGAAGGAAACCATCGTCTCGAAACGAACGAAACAGCAGAATACTTAAGTGAAGAGAAAAGCAGTATTGATCAGTACGTAAAAGATACACGATCTGTGATTCAAAACAGATGCAGATATCTCTTAAGGCCTCGTAGTCATTACATACTATCTTTCCGAATTCACACACATCTAGAATGACGATGACATTCATTAAAAATGTCAAAGTGGAAAAAAGATACTTTTCACTGAACATTGTCAAAAGGAAATGGAAGATTTTGCGTGACACGAATATTTTCTCTGGATTTCTTCTCTACAACTCGATCTGTTTACTTGGTGTCCACAGAGTAATGATCTTGTTTCTGGAATTGTTTACTTTTGTTGATTCTACGAAGCAGTTATTTTCGGGTGTCTTCTTTACCTAGCTCTATCTCTGTGTTTCTAGTCCCCTTCTTTTGTCTGCGAGATTATTGATTTGTTTGCATTCACACCTTTTTACTGGTTCCATGCCGATCCCATCTCCTTCGATCTTGCCTAAGCAATCTTAGTGAATATTGAGGCAAAGTAGACACAGAAAATGATCCAAAAGAAAGGGGAACACGGCAGCAAGGTGAACGTGCACTGATATTACTGATGACCTGTATTATTGATTTATAAGTTTTTCTTTTTAAATGAGAACTTACAATATCATAATATACTATTATAACTCCTTCCTTTCCAACAGACTAAAGAAAGACAAGCTTAGAAAGTATCATTAAATCTCCTCTTTTGGATGAACCCAACCCTTGTTTTTTTATCTTGATATCTTCTGAAAACGTTACGATTTTTAAAATATGATACAAGCCAGTGATTTTGTATCAGTCTCATGCCATGCTTTTTGTGAGAAGACATGAAGAACAAACATCCGTTTCTTCTGTTTGTTTCGCCTTTGTTAGAAAATATTCTGTTTTTCAAAAACATTCCTCGTCTTAAAAATATTTAAGAGGAAACAAAAGGCAAAAACACATCATATGCACCCCCCTCCACCCCTCTAAACAAAATCCAGCCCTTCCTCCCAACTGTGCTGCCACTGACAGCAACAGGATATACAGTGACAAGAGAAGAAAACTAGAAAGGAAGGCACACTTTCATAAGCACACTCCCTATTTGGGCTCAAGAGGTATACAATTACCGAGAAACAGAATGTTTGCTTAAAAAGAAAATGTGACGCTGAAATACGACTCCTGGGCAAAAATGTTCCAGAGGAAATTTGGAAGCTCTTGCGCGCATTTACAATAACGTTTATTCTACATGAACTTAGTGCACTGGATTTTTTCAGAATGCTATTGAAATATATGCAGATTGCAGGCGCCGTTCGTCCGTAGAGCACGGTCGTGCAGTGCCGCCCAACATTTATTAATGTTCTATTACTTAAAGCACCCACAAACAAAAAAAAAGAAGGCAGAAACAAACACTCGCCAAATATTATATCAAAATAAGGTCCTCGCTGGTGTCGTAACTGCTACTTGTGTCCATAGCGCTGTAAAACATCTACTATGCCATGCCAAAGTCCATGCGCTTTAATTAAGCTGAATAGGGTATTAAACAGCGGTAACCTGACCTATAAATCGCTCTGTGGGATAACCCAAGCGATGACTTTACACGTAGCGAATTTGGCGGTACATTAATATTAAGAAGACGGCACATCTGAAATGTGCTCCTACTGAATAATGCCGTAACATAGCCCACAGTAGGCAGTCTAAAAATAAACGCGATATCCGATATACTGTGCACTGTTCTATGCCAAAATTATGTGAGCCCAGAATTGTGATTGGTTCATTGTCTGTATATTTAAGTGACTCTGTGACCGTGAACCTGAGGGTGGTGAACGTGGCAGTCCTATGAGTTGTTCTTTTGAATGATTTTGTAGTGAAGTGGTGATAGCTACTACTTGAGTGTTCAGTTCCCATGCAGGATAAACGAAATTGATGTTTAGCTAATAAACAAATTTAGTTCTAGAAATCAAAGCGACAAGTAAAAAGAATGACAATAAAATCACGAGGACCTCCCTCACCAACCAAAAGATCCTAATATTATACACCATCAAATCTACTATGCCCTTGACTATCTTCAGCCTGCGATAGTTTAATTGTGCACGTCCACTTTTTACCCCCGAGTCGCCCGTGCAGCCCTGTCGTTAACGTGCAAAAAGTATTACACATGAATTATTCCTCCGATTCACACATTAGCATGGTTTTCTTTTTAGCTTGAGGGCGGCGTTAGGAAATCTTGCATCCCGCAGGATGACGCTACGCACATGGCAACCCTTGTAATTATGCCTCGGACGGACTTTAAATGAAAGGGGGGTTGAGGTGGGGGGGATGGGTGGTGGTAAACAGATCGGCGTCCTCTAACCTTTAGGGGGTGTAAGCATTTTTATTCAGGTGCACTACTCAAGTACCACATCTCTAAAGTATGTAGGATATCTTCTGTTCGTGCTTACTATGTTTTCTTATGTTTTCTGCTCATTTCTCTGTCTCGGCGATCTGAATATCGAGGGCATGGCAAAAAAATGGAGTCCTGAAACTCTGTAATGAAAATTCTGCTATTGAACCGTAATTGTTGTTTCTAGTAGGGTGTTTAACGCTATCAGAGGAAGAGATAAACAAGGTATCCCTATTTCTGATTGACAGGTGAAAAGTTTGACGGTGTGGGGATCTGCTATGTCTACGTCGAGCGTCGTATCGAGGAGTACATCCGGGCGATGTTCGTCACATTGTACGCCATGCCGTTAGCCGTTATTGCTCTTCTGTACGTCCGCACCTCGGCAGAGATCAAGTCCAGAGAATCAACGAACATGTCAGCTCGCTATTCTCAACACAGAGCGGCGTCCAACGACTCAAACGCCAGCAGATGTCGACGTCACAGCGGCACCGTTGTCCTCTCACCTCCAGATCAGCGAAACCACAGCCACAACTGTCACAACCATCACATGAAGCAGCACCAGCATCATCAACAACAGCAACAGCAACAACAACAACAACAACAGCAACAACAACAGCAGCAGCAACAACAACAGCAACAACAGCAAGGAAACACGAACCCGAATTCACTGAAGGCTGAAGGCAACAGCACACCGTCATCCACTCTAAAAGGGGAATCCCCAAAACGTCACAAATCTCACAGTTTGAGCAGTATTCACTACCAAGGTCCCGACCCTCACAGAAACAGCCAATCTCAAAGCACAGACATAATTGCGAGCGGCGGCTCACCTTGTCGAAGGTCATTTAACGAGAGGTCAACACAGGACAGTGATGACGAACTGGACCTTGTTACAGAAAAACGGACACAAAACTACCTCATCACCATGACAACGTTATTCGCTATGTGCTGGTGCCCTCTGCACATTTTGATCTTGGTCAATTACTTCGTGCACGAGAACGACAACAACATGGGACACTATGACATTACATACATTCTGTTTGCCTGGTTCGGGTTCCTGTCCACGTGCATCAACCCTGTTTTATTTGCTTCCTGGAGGATGTCGGACGCCACCAAAGACAGACTGAGGGGCTACTTTCGCTTCAGTAACAAACGCTGCTCCTCTATGTCACAGGTAAGTGAGCCTTGCGGGAAGGGGAAGGGTGGCAAGGT